TATCTATCTATCTATCTATCTATCTATCTATCCCTCCCTCCCTCCCTCCCTCCATCCATCCATCCATCCATCTATCTCTCTATCTGTGTGCCGCCAACTTAGAACAGCAGAATAACAGAGTTGGAAGGGACATTGGAGGTTTTCTAATCTAATTCTCAGCTCAAGCAAGAGCCCCTATATCATTTCATACAAATGGTTGCCCAATCTCTTCTAAAAATACCAGCAATAGAACATACTGGCAATTATGTCTTTTTAATATAACTAGAGGAAGCATGTCCTACTGTAATTACACTATTAGAGGCCAAAGTGCTCATATAAACATTATCAAACTGGTGAAAATCAAGTTGCACCATTGAAACACAAGAATTGCAGCCTTCATGCAAACATGCATATCAAGCACATACAAAAAGGAATGAAGTTATGATACAATGCAACTTTTAACATTATCCTCTCCCCACAACAGCCCTCCCATTGTATCATTTTTAGGATGATCATGCCATCTTTTCTGGGACAAAAGCAAATCTAAGTTATACAGTTAATACACAGAAAGAGCATGGTACCTAACTGCTTGCAGAACTCAGTTGAACCTGTTCCATATACCTTCCTTCAATTTGAAGAATTTCTTCTAATTTCTCTGCCTGAAAAATAAGAACACAAATCCAGTTTCTCAGATTAACTGGAATAAATCAGATCTTTATAAGTATCAGCGTCTCATAAACAGACTCAAATATTTAGCCAAGCCAAGTAGCTAGGCCAGAGCTGGGGAACCTGATAAGAATAGTAACTCAGCAAACACTGGAAAGCTTTTTTGACTCTATACTAGGGTGTTTCAGTTTGATCAGATTTCATGAGACCACAGGCAAAACAAACACTTAGATGGACCCAATTTTCTGTTCTTAGAGCTCGGCTTCTTGATCAGGAATTCCAAGATTTTGGGGGTTTTATTAACAGGTTCCACAACCTAAAAAAGTTTAAAAACTGCTCCAGAGAGACTGCATGAACTCATTTGCATTCCAGATCTGATCACTAATTTCTGACACACAAGATGCTGAGAAATGATAATTCATTCAAAATACCCCAGTTGTATCAGTTATTAGTTATCCAGAAACAGAACCTAAAGCCTGATATTTTAAAATCCCAGAAATTGATAGTAGTTGTGCACTGGCTCTGGTAAACAGGCAATAACAACACATTCTGCATCACACATGCACAGAAAAAATGAAAATATTTCTCAGTGATTTTCTAATATTATTTGAATTTGATATGAGTAAGCATGATTTCTTTCTTAATGAATACACGTGTCAAACTCATGGTGTCACGTTGCCATCACGTGACATTTTGCAATGTTTTTCCCCCTTTACGGACCTGTGGTAGGTGTAGCCTGTGTGTGACGCATCTGGCCCGCGGGCTGCCAGTTTGACATCCCTGAATTCTTGACTGAAGTATTTTCTTTCTTAATAGTCCTGAGTCAGGATTAATATTTTTAGTATGACAACTCTTCTGATATTAATAATTATTTTCTTTCTATAAATTGTATCCTGATCCTGTTTTTCAAATAGCTCACTCTAAAGAAATTTGATCTAATTTTCAACACATTAGCGCAAGTGCAATGCAATGTGTATATTATCTTTGAAAAAATCTGGAGAGTAACTGGAGAGGCAGAGAGGAAGATTTCCAAATCTTCAAAAGGGAGGGAAAAAAGATTCCAATGAAGTAGAGTCTAATTAATCTGACATCAGTAAGTGAGAAGATTCTAAAGATTGTAAAGAGATTGAACTGTATATACTTGGAAAATAATGTGACAAAAACATCAGCATAAAGTTGTGAATAATAAATTGTGCTACATCAAATTTACCTCATTAATTAATTGGATAACTTTTCTAGTACTGTAGAATATGTCCATGCTGTAGATATACTTTGATTTCAACCAAGTATTTTGCAAGATATTCGATGATGTTCTGATTACTAAGCATTGGTTGGATTACATGACAATTAAAACATAACTGACTTGAAAATTAATGGTTCTTCATCAAACTCGAATAAGTTATCAAGTCTCAGATTGTCTTAAGTCACTTGGGAAGATTTATTTGGATGACATGGTAGAGGAAACACTTATTAGATTTATACATCACAAAAATATTTGGATAACACCAAAAAACAAAAATAAAATTGAAAATATTCTTGATACTAGAGCTACAAGCCTCTTTGTTTCAATTTGTCATTGAGAAGTGGGAATAAAATTTATCAGAGACAAATGCAAGGTACTTCATATAAGAAACAAAAATCATTTGCACAAGTACATGATGAAAGGTATCAGGTTTGGCAGTAGTACTTTAAAATGTTCTTAGAATTGTTGTTCAATTGCAAACTATAAATGAGTCAGTAGCATAATGTGGTTGCAAAAAAAGAAAATGCATTTTCAGGATACATCAATAGAAATACAGTTTCCTAATTATGGGAAGCAATAATTCCTCTTGAGCTTTCTTTTCCCCAGTAGTATTTCCAGCTTGACTACCATAATTTAAAAAGTCACACAGACAGATCTGTTCATCATTGCTCCAGAGTGCACAACACAAAACAACAAATTCATGTTATTGAAAGACAGATTGCGATTGGATGTTTAGGAAAGATTTCTTAAAAATAAGAGCTATCCAAGAGTTATCCTGAAAAGTGATGGATTTCTCTTCACAATCTAAAAAAAGCTAGCCATCCATTTGTCAGGAATGTTATTTGGATTTGGATTCCTATACAGCAGGGTCATCTAATTGACTCCTTCCAAATCTATGAGTCAATAATTCTGCAACAAATGATACAATTCATAAACTGGAAAATAAATAGTTTACTATATATAGTTCATAAATTACACAGAATTATATATAATAGTAATAAAATTAATCAATGCATTTCTTTCAGAGTGACAATTACTGATTAGGATCCAGAGAAATGTCATCACAGAAGAGAATTCCCATAATCTCTATTCAGAAATAATTTCTTTTTCTATGAGACTTAGGTAAATATATATATGATTGTAGCTTTAAGCTAGGAACAGAAAAGTTTATTTATAAGAAAATTGTGCAAAATTTTTCAAGTATAATTTACAACTTTTTACTACATAAATAAGGTTAACATCATATATAATGGCAAATGCAGGATAAACTATAGCAATAAAGCCCTGAAAACAGTTCTCAAATAATTAATCTTATAAATAAAACAAACATATATACAGAAGTTAATAAATCAAGGTGGATGATACATTTTTAGTTCTTAGTTAACTCTTACGTTGTTCCTATTATAAAACATAATTCTCCAATCTGAGAAAAAAATAATTAACAGCAGATTACAGATTTTTTAAATATTCCCAAATTCAGATAACAAAGACTTTTACCTAAGCTACGTAGATGTAATAATAATAAGAGGATAACAGGATTGAGAAGATTATAGGGTGGTTTTCTGCTTAGCAACTTTTAATATTAAGAGTTCTTAATAAAAGAGAATAAGAAAGATAGTTTGTTCTTATGCTTCCTGCCAAAAAAAAACTGAGGTATGTGCTAATTAAAACCAAGAATCACTGCCCTTAAGATCCATAAAATATATACTGCATTTAAAAGCTGATTCTCTCTGTTCTCTTCTGGATCTAATTTGGTGTTAGGAAATTTTATCTTCTTTGTATAGTATAAAATGTTTATCCTCTTGCTTGATAGAGTCTAAAAAACAATTATTTAATTCCTTGCAGCCTAGTTTAAGATACCTACCATTGGCAACAAAATCAAAAATCTATTTTTGTAAGTAATTTCTGGCATCTATCATAAAATATAATTTATCACAATGTAGAAAATTGTGAAATACAAATCTCTGGGATTTTTCTATAATTCAATAATTTAAACAATCTTTAGTTGCAACAAAGCAAAAGCTATGAGGTCAAAGAAACTGCCTGCAGAGCTCAGAGACAGGATTATTGCAAGACACAGATCTGGGGAAGGCTACAATAATTATTTTTCTGGACTGGAGGGTCCTAAGAGCATAGTGGCCTCCATAATTCTCAAATAGAAGAAATTTAATGCAACCAGGATTCTTTCAAGAGTTGGTCGCCCAATTAAACTGAGCAATCAGGGGAGAAGGGCCTTAGTAAGAGAAGTGACCAAGAACCCGATGGTCACTCTTTCTGCCCTCCAGAGATCCTGTGTGAAGATGGGACAGTGTTCCAGAAGGACAACCATCATTGCAGTCTTCCATCAATCTGGGCTTTATAATGGCTAGATGAGAGCCTCTCCTCAGTGCAAAACATATGAAAGCCCACTTGAAGTTTGTTTTTTTTAAAGCACCTGAAGGACTCTCAGACTGTGAGGAACAAACTCCAAGTGGGCTTTTATGTGAAAGAGAGCATCGGGAAAACAGCAGTTCCAACCCTCAACAGTCAAGAAAAATACCAAGGTCAATAGTACTGAAAGCAGTTGAGAGATCCAGGAGGGCCAGAATAGTTGTGTCACCGCTACCCTGAGAACTTCAAAGGACATCTACAATACAATTTCAGTGCTGTTCCCCCCACGCTGAACCCAGACTGAAAAGTGTCCAGATAATCTGCTTCATCCAGGGCCCTAAAAAGGGAAGTTTAGACACTGGGTGAAAATTATCTCACACCATTGGATCCATATTCTCTTTCTGGAAATTTCTAAATGATTGGTTTTGCTTTTAATTTGATTGCCTGCAGTAACCTTCTGTAATATGATGCCCTCCAGATGTACTGCGACTGCAACTCCCATCCTGGCTGAGTCCCATTCTGAGACTTGCAATGCCTGCAATATCTAAAATATGACAGACTGAGAAGGTATTCTACAATTACAAGAAGCGGATTTGTTGCCTCATTCCTTCTGCTTTGGGGAGGCTCAGAGGAAGTGTATTTAATTCAGGGAAGCTCCCTGGCTATGAAATGGTCTCTCTCTGGAGGTGCATTTAGTTCCTACTCTACCAATATTTAGAAAAGTAGTAAAGACAATCTATTTTACTAGGCTTTTAATTGTTGATTGATTTTTAATTTTACTGAAATTTAATGTTTGTTTCGCATGCTACATCTTTGTTTGGAATGTTGCAAGCTTCTTTGGGTGCTTTCATAAACAAAAATGTGGGTGTTGAAACCCATTAAAATCCAGATGAAACAGAAAGCTGATTACCACTGAATGATTTTAATTGAAGAAATAGGGAGACAGAACAGGGAGCTCTTACCTGCTGCTTCTAAGTTCAAGGTTAAGCCTGTATCCAATTTGTTTCGTGGCTTCTTGCTGATAAACAAGTAACAGAGGACACACACAGTGATGAGAAAAGCCAGCAAGACCATTGCAGCAACCGACAAGCCAATAAGTGCTCCAATACTAGAAAAGAAAGAGCAATGAGCTGATGAATTTAAGGACATTGTCAAACCCTTTGAAAGGCATCATTGCTGCATGTATTTAATGGAGAAAGACAGATGTTTCAGCACTATGGGGACATATAGATTTCCCTTGATTGTTCTCATAGAAGCTGAATTATGTTGTTATAACAATTTACCAAAAGCCTTCTCTGACTGGATTAGACTTGTAGAGCAAACTTCATCTAAGGTGCTGCTTTTATTGTATTTCCTTGAATTACTGCATTTGATGTTCCTCTTGGCTAAACATGTATAAATCAAGACACATTCCTTTGAAACTCATGGAATTAAATCCAGGTAAAATCAATTTAAGACATTTCCTTCTTGAATCTTTGTCTTCTGTCAAACAGATAATTGGATAAAGAGATGAAATGCCTGTATACTCTTGAAACATCTCAAATAGGCAAAGGGTTCTTTTTTGCACTGACATCCTTAAACTTTTCAAAGAATCAATAGTAAAATAAAGCAAGATAAATCAATCAAAAATATAAAGCAGCATTGTACAATAAGTCTAGGGAGAATTTTAACTTTGATTTGGAGTACCACAAGTATGACAACATACTGAATATCTTTTATGTATTTTCTTATAAATCCCAGTGATGGTAGTTGGTAGCATTCTGAGCAGGAGTGACACTAAGAATAATTTACATCAATTCATCAATGGATTCATAATCAAATGAAAATATGAATGCAAAATCTCATCATTTCTATTGCATCCATAGGCCAAACTAATAAAAGTCGTGGAATTGTATATATCTTAAGTCCCTATTTATTCTGTTTCGATATAAATCAAGATGACAGTTTACTTACTATACCAAAAGAAATAGGCAAGAGAAGAAGAATACAACTCATCCACTTTTATTTTGTTGCTCTCAAGAGCAATCCATGTTTGGGAGGAAAACATATAAACATAGAACAAAGAACCCCATAGAAATGATGAAAAGCAGGGAACATAGTTTTTACATCATGCTTATTTTTTGTATAGGATAGATCCTTGACTTCTTAACAGGGCAGGTAAATCATATGACACATAAGATTACATCACGTCTACTTTGTATCTGAGCAAGTTACATATTGTTTCACTGGGTAGTTTCCATTCACCAAAATAAAAACCACAGAGCCAAAGAGCATAGTATTAATAACTTTACAAGGTTCATAATAGGCAAGTTGAATTAAACACTTAAATTCTCCACATTATGAATGAAAACCCAAATTGAGACCTTTGATCTATTGCGGAATCAGTTTCCTGAGATCAGTTTGCTCAATTTCTCCTTGACTTTTGGGTAACTTTGTTTTAGCACTAGACTAAAGCATCTGCCAGTGACCCTGCAAGATTGTACACTTTTTTCATGCTGATCATAAAATGCCAAGGACTAAAACTCACAGGATACTGTTGGGTTGCTCATGAAGTTGTTACACAATGGGTCCAAAGAAAGAAATTCTAAAGTCAGGTAATCATGGAATCCTTGGTTAGAATTCTGCATAAACTCTGCCTTTCCTCATTAAATGTGATAGTTGTTCCAGTATTCCTTCTTCTCATGAGATTTTCAGCATGCCAAATTCAAAACATACAAAATGTGACCCAGATGACTTAACTGTGATGTCTTGGTCTCCATTCCCTCACTGAATTAAATGGCAAAGAAAGGTCCAGTGACCTGCATTCATAGATATTTTTAGTCACGCTTTGAAAATTTGCCTGCAATTAGTACACAAATAGCTTTTAATTACCTGTCGGGTTTCTTCCAGCTATCCAATGTAATGGAATGATTCTAATTCATTCTGTAGATCTAGTAGGATTATTGTCAATGACCAGGAAATTTGGGAGGGGGCTGAGAGAGGAATGGAACAGTCAGGAGCATTCTGATTTATGCCTCAACTGCTTCACTGGGAAACCACTGAGATCTTTTTCCTGGAATGTTTTTCTCCATAGCCCCTGCTAGATTCAGCCCATTTTCAAACTCAGTCATGTTCCATTCTGATTTTATCCTGCTCATAAACAGTATCGTTTAACCAGATTTCTTTCCAATCTTATCCTAGGGAGAAAAGAAAGGGCTCCTTAATTATACCAAAATCTTGGGAGGGGCAACATAAAAAACAAATTGTCCCAATCCGTTGCTTTAGCATTGTTGCCTCTCTTACAATAGAATTCGTGCTTGAGGGCAACACTCTCTCAGTTTTTAAATTCCCAAATCATTTTTACACCTGCTGGTTGAGAAATAAAAAAGGAACAGAAACCACTGCTTCATCTTGCTAGCCACACAGAAAAAAAGCCCTCATATACACCATACAAAAAGGAAAAGAAAACTAAACAGCAACATTGGCTGAAGGAAAGGGAATTTTTGTAAAAAAAAAAATCTTGCCCATTTCACCTTCCTTGCTTCACCTGAATGACTAAGAGGAAGATACAAGCACCCTTAATCTGCATTTCTTTTTAGGAGCTGCCAGGGTGGTTAAAGTTCTGAAGCCAAGCTAGAGTAAGACAAAACATTTTTACCTCAAGTACGTGTACTTGTTTTAATTTATTACAATCATTTCTACACAGCTCCTCCCAATAACTCTAGGTCATGTTCCAAACAGCTTCAGTGTTTCCAGCTGAAAATTTCAAGAAAATATTACAATTCAAGCATCTGTCAATATGATAACACTCAAAGTTCTAAATCAGTCCCACTCTTGAAGAAATATGTCTGGATTTCCCCTCATGGCTTAATTTAAAAGACTATTCATAAATCCTCAAACAATTAGAAAATGATATCGGTGCCATTATATCTGCTGGTGATATGATACTATAAAATGATGCTGTCCTTATTTACTGTGAAAAAGGCTTATTAAGACAGGGATAGATGGATTCTTCCATATTTGTTTTCCTTTCCTCCCCTAAATAACAGAATGACAGAGTTGGAAGATATCTTGGAGGTCTTATAGTCCAACCCTTTGATCAGGCTGGAAGCCTTACAGTATACAGTTTCAGACAAATGGTTGTCTAATCTCTTCTTAAAAACTTCCAGTGTTGGAGCATTCACAACTTCTGGAGCAAGTTGTTCCACTGGTTAATATTTCTAACTTTTAGGAAATTTCTCCTCAGTTCTAGGTTGCTTCTCTCCTTGATTGATTTTCATCCATTGCATCTTTTTCTGCCCTCAGGTGCTTTGGAGAATAGCTTGATTCCTTTTTGTGGCAACCCCTGAGATATTGGGACACTGCTATCATGTCACCCCTTCTTTTCATTAAACTAGACATACCCAATTCCAGCAACAGTGTTTATGTTTTAGCCTCCAGTTCCCTAATCATCTTTGTTGCTCTTCTCTGCATTATTTCTAGAGTCTCAACATCTTTTTTTACATTGTGGCAATCAGAACTCAGTGCAATATTCTGCATCCAGTTTTGTTACCTGCTAGCAGGAAAGCATCAATTTAATCACTCTTATTACTAATTAATATTCTTTTAAAGAAACTTGCCCATTTCACTTCTCCTTGCTTCACCTGAATGTCTAAGAGGAAGATACAAAGCTCCCTTAATCCCCGAGGCATCTGTCAAAATTCATGGAAGTTTTGCAAAAGTATTTTGCTCAAATGAATTCAAGTGATTTTGACTATCAATTGATCTCCCAATATTTCGATATGGCTGGATAGCACTTTTCCAAAAGAGTGATCAGGAACAAATATAAAGGCCATGAGTGAAATTACAAGTGCATGGATCTGATTCAGAATGATGCACATTTTTCAGGTGGAAGCAACCAGTTTTTCTATTTCCTAGAATTTTTCTAGTAAAATGGTCCAAAATTTCAAAAACAAAGCTGAACATTTCCATCTGTGAACAGCAGAGAACATGACTGTAGAAAAGAGTTGATATTGTTGAGGAGTTAATGTGTACGAAAAAGGCAATCAAGATTTTAAAAAAAGTAAAGTGAGAACAGTGGAAAAAGAAGACAAAATGGAGAAAGCAGAGACTTCTGTTGACGTAGTTAGGCTTCTGTATAAACACAAAATGCTTTATAGGGAGAACTGGGTTGAAAGTTTACTTAAGACTTAATAAAAGGTGCTTATATGAAGGAAAAGAGAGGCTACTGCTATTCAAAACCATTTAACAATAACGTTATTGCTCAATAAAGATAAATCTTTCAACAATATTTGGGCAAACCAGTGAGAGTAAGGAAATGGTCTGATGTTAGAAAGAAAGGCTTCTTGGAAAAATTGATATTCATCATTTAAACTCAGCAAAAATATAGTGTATTATGAACTTTGGGGGGATGAAAGAGTTATGGCTCTCTCTAATTACACATTGCATAGAGTATTAATTCTTTTTACCAAATGTACAGTATCTCCAATGTAAAATTAAATATATTCGATTAGAATTATGAGTTATAAAATACAAGTGTGTTTCCTACACAGGCTTTTTTTCTTTTTTCTTTAGTCATTTGGAAGAATTGTTTTGAAAAAACAATAAAAAGAAAAGCAGTTTTTATCTGGTTTAGATAAAACCAATAACATTTAATAAACTGATCTGTAGAAATTGTAGGCAACTGAGTTACAGCAAAGAATTGGACTATTTATTTTTCCCCATTTTTGCCTTTGATTCTATCATTTTAATATACATACATACTCATACAGGCCTCTAAGTTAGTAGTTCACCATCAGAAAATTGTCCAATGAAAAGTAGTGAAATGATCACATTTTCCCAGATAACAGTCTAGGGCAGAACGGAGTGTCTGATTCTTTTATAGTGTAACTGAAACATTAAAATGAAACTTCTGATCAATCATGTTGGCTTGCTGATTTGCTGTGCTGCACTTCTTGACTTAAATCAAACCATTTGCAAGGTTGCTGGATGACTGTGTTGGTTAGTCCAAGCCAGTCACAAACAATATGCATAGCTGCCAGCAAACTCCCACACTGACAGTATGTTTGATAGCATCACCTTGTACTCATATCAATATGAACCACAGTGGCACAGTGGTTAGAATGCAGTACTGTAGGCTATTTCTGATGACTGCTGGCTCCCTGCGATTTGGCAGTTGAAATCTTACCAGTTTCAAGGTTGACTCAGTCTTCCATCCTTCCAAGGTGAGTAATATGAGGACCGAAATTGTTGGGGGCAATATGCTGACACTGTACATCACTTAGAGAGGGCTGTAAAGCACTATAAAATGGTATATACCCTAAGTCAAAGTGCTATTCATATTGCTTATGAACTGGCTGAACTTACAAAAACTAAGCAAATTTAATTTATAGAGAAAATCCATGAGTTGGTTGACTTTTTAATATTTTTTGATGAAATATATCTGGCAAACCCCTACAAGAGTGTCCGAAGAAATTTGCTGCATTGTATATCTTCATAACTATTAAATACTAACTGGAAAATACTATCCATCTTGATTGGAAAAACAAAAAGGCAAATTTGTATTTCTCGTGTTCTATGATAGGAAACAGGGTGCTTCAGTTGTTCTGAATCTCATTCTGGTCACTTCCTAAATGACACCAGAATTATTTTCAGATTGAGCTAAATCAGGTCTCTTGTTTCTAGAATACTGGAACAAGTCCTGAAAGTAGGCAGTTTTCCATTTACTATAATTAGCACAGTCTTCTAAATAATTATTCATGGCATTGCCTAGAGTAATTATGAATCACCTTTAGCTGTTCAGTTCAAGCACAGAACCACAAAGTATAGTATTTTTAACAGAAGAGAGTATATATAGCTCAGGGATGAACTATTGGAATCCTGTGTGCTCTCTAAGCTTGGTCGTCTGATTATAAACATTTCATTACCATACCAGGTAACATTATCAATGTTAGCATTGATGATATTACCTAGTCAGATAATGAAATGTCTGCAAGCAAATAACTAAGCTGAGAGCACCAAGCACTCCACTACAATATTGGTCTAACCAATGCTCCAAATGGAATGGTTTCACATGAGAACTACCTCTTCTATGGTCTGTGATTATTACTGATTTCCTTAGCTATCTTACTAACATTCAGGTTTTTTAAAGCTTACATTCAAACTCTAGAGGAAAATGGATAATTATTCGTATCTCCTAAGTTTCATTATGTTTTGCTATTGCAAATGCCTCTCACTTCACCATACCCTTTCTGAGAACTGTTTGTATCCTGAGACTGTAAAAGGAAAAATTACCTATTTCAAGTAACTTCCAACCATGGCAATCATATCAGAAAGCCTAATCCCTCTCCAGACACCACAATGTATTATATTATGACTGTTATCATCTGCAATTAGAATTCTCATTACTGAGTGGGGATTATGGGAATCCAACCCGTCTAGAAAAGCAAGCCAAGTTGAGCTCAGGAATAGGGAAGACTGGATTACCAGGTTCCATATTGCAATGGTCACATCCCCTATAATTGTTGCTTTACACCATAACATTAGACCTGTCACCCTCTGTTCCTTCTGCAACTGAGATTTGCAACTCCCACGTTTGCATTGGTGGTAGAGCGCATCTTCTGGTGTCCACTCTAGAGACAGCAAGGTAATCTTTCCCTCCTGAGCATGTGCAGAGTGCATAACAATATCACCTTTATTCTCCGATGGTTCAGATCCTGGTCTTAAAGCAGCAGCAACCCCTCACTATCCCCACCCCCTCTTGTCCCAACTGATATATCTTCTGGGTTAGGACAAGCCAGAAAACCCTCTCCCTATTCTCACCTGAGCCACCACATGTAATTGTGCTCGTAAGGGAAAAAGCTGTTAGGGTCGTCGCAACAATACTTGATATCCTGGAAGCCGCAGCAATAGATCGCGTCAGCCTCGCCGTCTTCCCGCGGACAGCTGAAGGAGCCCACCAGCACTTTGTCGGTGTTCACGTAGCTGCTGCAAGCGGTGCTCATGGTGCGCTGCCCGCCCGGGAGTTACCGAGTTACTTTCGGAGACGAGAAACGGCTGGAAGCGAAACCGGAGCCGAAGCAGCGGAGAAATCGCCTTGACGCCTGGTGCTCTGACGGCTCTGCTTTCACCTCCGCCAGCCTGCTCGCCAAAAGAGGCTACTTGCAGCTTCTCGCGACGCCCCGCCCTTTGGCCCAGGGCCCCGCCCCTCCGTCTCATTCTTGCCCGCCGGCCGCCACTTCAGTCTATAGAAGCTAAAAGAGAACCGGGTGACAACCAAAGGTGCTTTTTCTGTTTTTCGTGCTAAATAAAAAATAAAATAAAAATAAAAAGATGCGGTTGCCAATTCCCGTTTGGAGCAGCCTAGCAAGTTACCTGGATCTGAAAAATCTGAAGGATCTTTTATTAGAAACCCGATCTTTGGTGGCAAAGGGTTATTTTTAACCATGCAACATTCTCCCTTCCCACACACTTTTAAAAGCAAGTCTTCCATAAATCACAAATAAGCCCATTTTCACCATATTTTATTTGAACGGTAATCAAAGCAGCAGTGGTAAAACCAATTTTTCAGGTTTTCTTTTTACTTTGATTATGTGGAGTGGGAGATTTTTAAAAAATAGTTCCGGGATGATCTCTTCTCAGGTACCATCCTTAAATGAAGAACAACAGGAAGATGACCCCCTGCTGTCATGGCCCAGCAAACGACGGAAGCAAATCTATCAAAGACCTGACAAATTGATTTTAATCAAGAGGTCCTTTTATCCAGATCAGAAACACTTGTCAGACAACCATAGAAGGCAAAATGATAGAAAGGAGCATTTGGAAACACTGAGAACTAGCAGAGTTCATCTGTAAGAAGTCCAGACACAGCTAGGATCAACTGTGCTTAAGAGAAGCTATTGGCTGTTGCTATTTCTAAAATGATCTGGCCAAGCAAGAACCTCTTCAATGCTGCAGTGAGAGCCCAGTAACAATTCCTCTCATGATGTTCCCTCATCACTGGACTGTGTCCTGAAATCTAGAACTGGTCTATTGCTGGCTTTCTGTCTCTGCTTCTCCTGCTTGTCCTTCGAAGAAAGCCTTCATGTGTACAGGTGGATTTATGTTCTAGAAGATAAGCCCGACATTTCAATTATGATAAATAAACACTCTTGTCTGTGAGGCCCAGACCGTTTTCAGAAGGTAGCAGCATCTGTTGTCTTTCCTAAAAAGTATTCACAGACTGAGGACTACTACAAGACGTTCCTTTCTGTCAACGTTCTCTGTGCCTTGATTTGTTGGTTTATTTATATCCCGCCTTTATTATTTTTACAAATAACTCAAGGCAGCCAACCTACAGGTAGTCCTCGACTTACAACCACAATTGACCCCAAAATATATGTTGTTAAGTGAGACATTTATTAAGTGAGTTTTGCCCCATTTTACAATTTTTCTTGCCATAATTGTTAAGTGAATCACTGCAGATGATAAGTTAGTAACCTGGTTGTTAAGTGAATGAGCTTTTCCCATTGACTTTCCTTGTCAGAAGGCCTCAAAAGGTGATCACGTGACCTGGGGCACTGCAACTGTCATAAACATAAGTTAGTTGCTAAGCATCTGAATTCTGATCATGTGATCTTGACAATGTGAAAAATGGTCATAAGTCACATTTTTGTAGTGCCATTGTAACTGAACAGTCACTAAACAATCTGTTGTATGTCAAGGACTATTTGTATTCAGGGTTGGGCTAGGAGAGAGTGACTGGCCCAAAGTCATCCAGCTGTCTATCATGGCTAAAGTGGGACGAATTCACAGTCTCTCACTTTCTAGCCTGGTGCCTTAACCACTAGACCAAACTGACACTGGTTGATGGGCTTCAGCATTCATGAGAGCTTCAATGACAATACAAGCAGGCTAAAGGCTCTGAAGGATAGTCCCAGAAAATGGGCAGGAATCAGTGTAGCTATTTAGGCACTGAAAAATATATCCTTAATATAGATAATCCTCAAGATACAACCCATCACTTAACAACTGTTCAAAGTTATGACAGACCTCCCGAAAGCTACAAACAAGCCTGTTTTAAACATACAGTGACTGCAGTCCCCTTTGGTCATTCTCCCTTATAACCCATCACAGAGACACTGCACTTCTCTCTCCCTCCATTCCACCCAAAAGGACCTCACAGCACTTGGGCCTGCTCCTCCTGCCTCCTGATAACAGCTACCATTTTCAATTCCTTGCAGAAATGGTGGCTCCTTTGGGAGTTTTTTGGCCCATGGGAGACTACAAACCTCTCCTGACTCTTGCTAGCTAATTTAATAATTGTTTTGCTTTTTTGCTGCCTGTCTGCCTTTAGGGCCCAGTTTCTGCTGTGTCTGTACCGTGTACTGGTGCACATTTGTGCTTTAGCCTCTTTAGAGCTGAACTTTTACTTTAGCTCCTCAAAGCTGCAGAAACATTTTCTTTGCTTCCTTCCTTCCTTCTCTCTGTCTTCAGCCTGGCAGTGACTCATCAAGGTGAGTAACGTACATATTTTGTCATCATCTTTCTAGGCATGCAATAAATTTAGCAAATTAAGTGATTAAAAGTGATGGAGGGCAGAGGTGGAGAGTTTGGTTTTGGCACCTAATTCAATGGGGAAGGTCAATAAGTCTGTCTCTCACCTCTTTTTGTTTTGTTTATTGGAGAAATATGGGTTTCTGGGGCAGGGAGGGAATTAAATAAAGGAAAGGTTTTGGGAAGGTTTTGCATGCAGGCAACAGACATCCCCAGAGCTAGCAAGAGCCAGAAGAAGTTTACAGACTCCCAAAGGCCAGCTGATTGGGGTAGAGGCCAGTCCACAAGCATGGCTTCATCAGTCCAAGCATGGTGGTTTGTTTGGAAGCCTCTGGCATTGGAATATGGTACTAGGCCCTAATCTGCCTGGGTTCTTTCCAGTGGGTTCCAGATCCCGTTGCAACCGGTACAGTGCAACGGGGCCTGGTGTCCACCACATGAGCACGCTTAGCACGTTTACTCGTTACCGTCTGCAATGCTCCGCAACGCCTCCATGACACTCCAGCTGCTAAGCGGAGAGTTGTGCAGGCTCTGTACACTCCGTGCGCAAATGCAGAAGCCCCGAAGAGCTCAAATACAGGTAAGGAGGGCAGGCGGGCCCTCCGGAGCACTGTATCGGAATGGTACCCAGTGCTCCCGGCAGGCACCGGTACACCCATACCTGGGCATACCGTAACCCACCACTGGTCTGCCAACCCTCCCCCACCTAGAAGTATTCCATGCTTGCCAAATATTTATCTAATGGTGGCATGAGAGAGAGGGGGGGGGAGAGAGAGGGAGAGAGAGAGTGTTTGAGTGTGTGTGTTTGTGTTTGTATGTGTGTGATTAAGCAAGCCACTTAGTAGTTGTCATTAATTACAACCATAATGGGCAGTCTCCATTATGGTCACAGGTTGAGAACTATCTGTGTCCAGTTCCATTTACTCATCCAAATGACTCTTCCAAGTTGGTCATTCATATATAATAACTTTAGTGTAGTCTACCCTGTAGGTTTCAAGATATGATCAACTACTATGGCAAGGCTAAGTCTATTTAGACAAAGAAGCAATCCCTCATGGTGCTATGAGAAGCCACATGGATCTCTAATAATAAAACTGGATAAATTTATACCCTAAACTGCAGATCATGGTCTTTGAAAAGGAATAAGGTCCAAACTGTTTCATGATCATGATTAAAAGAGCAAAATCACACCTAGTATTAAAATCTGATCTTGAAAAATTGCTGTATGCAAATATTGAGTGTTTTGCTGTGTCCTTTAAACTAAAGTGACAGGAGAGGGGTAAGAGTAGGGTTCACAGAACTTACACCCAATTTATTATGTAAGTTCAAAAGTTAAACTTTGAACTTCAAAAAACATTTTCCCATTCTCCCCTTTACTCCAGAAAATAGAAGAAAAATCCCCTTCC